GGGAGGGAGGGAGGGAGAAAATGGTTGGATGTTAACTTTTGAGTAGCATAGCATATCAGCTCTTCCCTCTTGCACCAGGATGTGGGGATCCTTCTGTCTTTCTAGAACCTAAGACATGCTTCTGTGGGCAAGTCCTTAATAAACTGCATTTGATGGAGTTTTGGATCTGATTGTCTCTTCAGTCTCTTGGCATCTTTAGCCTTTGGCAGCCAGTTTTCACACACTGCTTGTATTAGCTACTTTTTTGTTGCTATGACTTAGGGGAAAAAGCACATAAAGGAGCTGGTCTCCCCCATAGTCCCAGGTGGGGCCTGGAATTCACTAGTAGTCCAGGCCGGCCTTGATTCCACAGAAATCCGCCAGATTCTGTCTCCCAAGTATTTGAGATTAAAGGCCTGCGCCATCACGCCGGGTTTGAATGACATCTTTTTATCTTTTTGCAGAGCTGGAGATAGAACCCAGAGCCTCACCCATACAAAGCAAGCGCTCTACCACTGAGCTACATCCCCAGCCTTTTGGAGACAGTCTCAATACTTTGCCCAGGCAGGCCCTGAACTTGCGATCCTCCCTGCTCCACCTCCCTAGCAGCGTAGACAGACCTGTACCATCACACCTGGCCACGACATGATCTTGGTTTCCAGGTGTGTGTCTGGTCCGCGTTCTGTGCTCTGACAACCATCACCAAACCCCTCTGTCTGAACCCCTGCAACCACAGCAGGATCTTAAGTGGTGGGCGGCACCGGGAGGGGACCACCCTCTCTCCCTACCCCTGGCAGCCAGGACGTGGGAGGGACGCCCAGGGGGAGCTAGGCTCAGAGGGAAGAGGCGCTTGCAGAGTCCATCCAACTCAGTGGACTTGTGCAGGAGCGGGGCCAGCCCGTCGGGGCGGGACCACCTGGTGGGGGACCCCATCCACGACCCCCCTATTGTGCCCACCGGCCACAGTCCCAACCGAAAGTGAAAGGAGGCCGAGCTGCCCGGCTTGGCGTGGGCGGAGAGGTGGCGGCTCTCTGAAGTCCTCAGGAACCGGCTACAGCTTTGTGACTTCACTGGTTTCGCAACAAGCCCGGGCCACACGCGCCCCACCCACCCGGGCCCGGCCGCCTGTCCGCCCGCTGCCCGGCTCAGCTCTGCGCCCTTCCCTCCCTCCGGGGCTGGGCCTGCCCCCGTCCCCTCGCGGAGCCTCCGGTCCCGCAGCGCGTGTCTGTTCGTGCAGTGGCCGCCGCCTCCAGGCAGCCCGCGGAAAGCCGGCGTCGCCCCGGAGAACACAGCGCCCGCGGGGCGGCCGTGCGGCGATGGTGTGCTTCCTCCGGGGAATGGCCTTCGTCCCCTTCCTCCTGGTGACATGGTCGTCCGCCGCCTTCATCATCTCCTACGTGGTCGCGGTGCTCTCGGGGCACGTCAACCCTTTTTTCCCCTACATCAGGTGAGGGACAAATGGGGCTTCGCAGGTAGAGGGTCCACCGGGCAGTGCTGCTGATGGGAAGGGAAGGCATGCAGTCTGGGCACAGTGGGGACCACTTGAAGTAGGGCCGACGTGTCATGAGCTCCTGACAGCCTTGCCATGTATAGGGAGGAAGGGGTGTTCCCCCGAGCTCTGCCTTTGTCCCCAACACTGGGCAGGGCAGCCTCTGGAGGTCCTAGGGCAGCTGTTGGTACTTTTAGACCTGGGGTATGGGATAAGATCTTGGGAGAGCCTTCTTTTGGTTTTGGTTTGGTTTGGTTTGGTTTGGTTTTGGTAGTCCTAGCTGGCCTGGAATTCACTAGGTAGACCAGGCTGGTCTGGATCTCATAGAGATCCCCTTGCCTCTGCCTCTGGAGTGCTGGGATTAAAGGCATATGCCACTATATCTGGTCCAACCTTCTTTCATGACACTGAAACAAGGGTGGTTCCTGATGAATACCATTTATTCTAAGAGGTAGAGGTAGATCCAGGTATGTGCTAAACAACTCACATTATTTCTCTTCTTCCCGTATCTTTTTTTTTTTTTTTTTTTTTTTGGAGAGGGGGGGGTTTCTTTAAACACCCATCGGGGGGGAGCATATATTTTGATGAAAGGGGGGCTTTCA